CGTGAGCGTCTCAGAGAGTGGCAAAGATCTCCTTTTTATAAGCTAGAAAGGCAGTAGTAGAGCCCTCCGCGGCCATCTGATTTAGTGAAGGTTCAACAACCAAGATGAATCATATGATTGAAAGAGTAACAAATCAGCGCCGACAAAATGACATAATGGCTCGTTCTTGCATATGTGGATGAAGGCCATGAATCAGTGGCATTTCACTAGGTGTGATCACATGAAGTGGTCACTCCAAATATACTTGTGTGTGGTCACACTCAGGGCTGGTGTGACCACATAGAGACACAGTTAGATGTAGTCACGCCTAGGTGAGGCACGAACACAATAAAGTATTTATGGGCCTCGTCGCACTCAGACCTGGTGTGACCACGTCAGGCTATATATGGACAAGTGTAAGTTTGGTTAATGTGGCAGCACTGAAACAAGCAGTGATGTCCGTGCAAGTCCTTTGTGACAAAAAAATGAGGTTAACAGTCATTTCATATGTAGATCAGTACAAATTAAAGAATATAGTCCTTGAAGATATAAAATAAGTGATAGGTAGAAGATACAAAAATTCCTTATGCCTATTTTTTTCTGGGATTTGAATCAAGGAGAATGATATAGTTTGCACTAAGTCTTTGTTGTATTAGACTTATACAAAAACATTTATTTGTTTACATAACAATCAATCTTTTATGATTTCAAGCCTTACTTGGAGATCATTTTTTTTTTCATTTTGTAAGTCATATGAAACTGATTTTTCCTTTGAATATGTTTCCTTCTTGAATCTTGCAAATTTTTTGAAGCATTCTTGGGGCATGTTAAACTCAGTTTTAATTTTCATTCTTATGAGAGCTTCAAATAAATCAAAATGGGTTGTGCTTCTCTCCATAGTGCGTTTGGTCTTCATTTAGTAATTCATAAATCAATTAAGCTTCATGGTATTATAACTTTTCCTGCACTTGAATCATATAAAAAAACCTTGTCCCATCAAAGGCCATTTCTTTAAATCTACTTTAGTCAAACTCTGGTTGAGGATCATAGCTCATAAAATGAGAAGATTTTAATACTATAATGTCAACCTCATGATAAAAAGTCCAAATTTGGTTATCAGTTTGAAATCCTAACTTATATAAATTAAATCTAACTTTGACACGTATTAAGTATGATCAATTCCTCTATTTTGAACATGGACATGAAACCTACTTCATATAGAAAAGTTGGAAGTTGAGATGTTGCATGCATGAAGGTCTCAAAACCATTCAAAAACTTATGAATGATTTCTTTTCTATGTTGATAAAGTCTATTGTACATACATGACCTTGATGCACAAATATCAATTGATAACGTATATCTTTGAGGAATTAGTATTAGCAAAATATGAAAGAGAAACTATCGATGATAAGATTAGAAAATTAGAAAGGCAAAAAAATTTACATTGATGCCTGAAATGGCTATGCTCTTTTAAATGTGTATTAACTGAGTGGCAAATCAGCTAAATAATTACATGACACCTCTAAGATAAAATTGTCAATTGTTTAACATTTGTTGTTGCCCTTGAAGAAAAACAAAGAGTGAGGAAACTCTAATATGGAACATCAAAATTTTCTCATTTCACTATCTTATTGAATATTCAAAACAATATATTCATCATAAAGGAGAGCTTACATTTATATTTAAAGCATCAGAGGTGCCTATAAAAAGGAATTTACATACGTAACACAAAATTCTTGTGTATTTACATATCTCAAATCTAAACTTTGATATTTCCTACTTTTCTTTTCAAACATTATTATCACATCACAAGTGGCATATCATACAACTCTTGTGCATTTACGTATCTCGAACCTAAACTCACGCATATGGTTGAATGATCGAAGTGCCAATTATGTAAATAAAAAATGTTAATTGTGAGATAAATAAGAACAAAAGAATAGGTACACTTACATATCTCAAATCTATGCTTTCATATTTTCACACATAGTACTAGAAAATGTATTACCGCATCAAGAAATGATTTCAAAATTCTAAATAGGGCATTTGAATACATAGCATGCAATTCTTATGGTTTTAGTTATCTCACACCAAAACTTCCATATTAACAGGTAGCGTGTAAATATGAAATTTTTTGCGTGAGATACACTAATCCATAAGAATTTGTTGCTAAATATACAAATTTTCCATTCTAAAATTGAAAAAGCTTTGATTTAAAGAACCAAAATGGTATGCACGTAAATATCAAAATTTAGTTATGAGATACTTGAAAAATAAGATTTGTGAGCTACATATGCAAATTTCACATTAAAATTTGTGGTATTTGCATACGTTGCACTAAATTCTAATGGATTTACCTATGTCACACCAAAACTTCCATATTTACATGCAAAGCACTCAATTCTTCCATAACACATATAAATGTCCAATTATTGCGTGCGGAGAGCCCATGCAGAGCTGCGTGCTCTCTCTGCATGCAATAATCACTCCATAAAAATAGCATTAATTACTCATTTAATAATTAAATTTGGCTTTCTTTGCATAAGTAAAATATTATTGTTTAAAAGTGGAAATTTAGGCGAGAGATACGTAATCCAAAAGAATTGCATGCTACATATATAAATTTCGCTTAAAATGTCAGTGTTAGGTAGGGAAACACCTTTGAGATAAGCACTAAGCATATAGCAATGAGATACATCATGAAAAACATATAAAATAAAATCAAAATTTTGAATTTCTCCTAAACCTATAATCTGAAAATGCTATAAAATTAACTAATAAAATTAAATAAAAACTTAGAGGTAGATTGTAATTGAGATTATCTTCAATTTTAGAAACTGTTGAGTCAACAGAAAATGTAATAAAAAAGGTGAACAAAGGGTTCTGGAGCTTGAGCGCATGGAAGGAAAGAAAGGAGGATTTTTGTCGTCGATTCGTTACTAAGAATGAACCATTTCCATCTGCTATAAAATAGTGTGACTCTCGCTGGTTGGTAATAATTTAATAACCATAGGATTTAACTATCTATTGACTTGTGGCCATTAGTTTATAAGTCATTATGAACGAAGAGATTAGACCGTCGGAAAAATATTTTACTAGAAAATTATGGTTTAATTCGTCAGAAAATCGAATGTTGAATATACTGGCACTAAATCGTCAAAAAGTACTTCAAAACTTTTCACGATAAATTAGCTATCAGTTTTTTCGTTAGTTTTAATTGTTTTTCCTGTAATGTTAAAAAAAATTTACATATTTTGAAGTTAAAATGCAACATTTCACAGTTGAACTTATTATTAATCACCATCATTCCCTCTAGGTAAGTTGCTAATTTTCACTACATCGAATCATGTTAAGTTAGAGGTTGTTCAAGTTTGAGCTCATTTATCAATAGCTTGTTCAAGTTCGAGTTGAGCTCAAATGAAGATTTTGTGATTGTGTTCATGCTTGAGCACATTTACTAGAAACATGTTTGAGCTTTGTTTTAGCATGATTTGCTTAAGCTTGTTCATATTCAAATATATAAACTTAAACTGAACTTCTTCAAGCCAAGCTTAGAAAATTAGACTTTGATCAAAGAAACATAATTAACAAGCCAAACCTTACCGAAACGAGTATTAATCTTGTACACTTGTTCTCATGCTTTTTCTCAGATTGTTGCCTTTCTTAACACCAAGCCATATTCGAGTTTTTTCAAGCCTGAATGATACTTCTTATTGAGCATGTTCACAATCTTTAAACAATATAGCTCATATTACAAATAAATTGAGCAAAGAGTTACATGAGCTTGTTAATTTAACAACAAACATTTTATGAAAGTGTTCAAATTTATTTGATTAGTGAATCATAGTTATGAGCTAGCTCTAATCAACTACAAAAAATTTTGTTGAATGCTCAACTCATTTCATACCACTCTTTCAACTCCTATGCTAAAAGGAGGCTAAATCGCAATTCATTTGACGACAACACTTTGAAGAATAAGATTAACAATTCTTTACCAATTATGTGCAAGTGAGAATACAATCTAATTTCTGAAAGTGTTAAATTTATTTTGGACTGCCTAAAATTACGAAAAAGGAATAGACCCTTGCACGAAAATTCGCATATTGAAAGCTTATGTTTTGAATGCACGCAAATACCCACACATTTCATTTGGTTAGGAAATTAAAGTATTTTCATGGATAAAAATGCAAATTAAGAGAAGTAGCTTAGGAGACATAGTGAAAAAATTCGTCAAAATTAATGAATTCATAAATGTTGGGTGCAAGTAGAATCATATTCTACCAAGTGTTAATCTAAAGGCTTGCAAAATTTTCGGGAAAAAAAATAAAACTGGAGTAGATAAGAGTAAAACATTTTAACCTGAAATAACCACCGGAAGAAGGTGATGGATGCATGTAGAAAAAGATGAGAGGACGAGAAAACAAACAATCTCGTCTAATATACCACCGCCAAGCTGTCCTCTACTTCATATGTCCTTTTCATTTTGTTGAAACGTACATGCTCCATGTAGGGCCTCACTCAACTCTCTCTCTCTCTCTCTCTCTCTCTCTCATATCCATTTATAGTACGAGTATTGTTCTGCTTTTTCATCACTTCTTCCCCTTACTGCCTCTCCCATTTGTAATCTTCAACAGAGTTCAGGGTAATTATAGGCAGCTGAATCATAAGACCTGCATTATAATCACAATTGTTACAAATATAAACCATTTTAGCTTATTCTTATATGTATTAACCCTAACTTAAAATATAAAGATCTAAAAATTTTCATTTCCGACCTACTCCAAAACATAAGCTTTTACCATTGCACCACCATAATTTTCAAAAAACTAACATTCCATTTAATTATCTTAATCCAAATTATTTCGTCTTGTAAATTAAAATTTAAATAACTAACCTTTCTATGCAAATATATACATCAGAGTTTTTTTCTTATTAAGAAAAAAAAAAAAAAAAACGACCCAACTTGCTCTCATTGGAAAGCTATGCCCAGTTGGAAGCAGTATAAAAACGGTAGACCGAGCAGAAGGGAGACTTAAGAGTCATCCATGTTCTCACTTTCCAATTGAGAATTGGGCAACGGTTAATGGCAATCGCAGCGGCGATGAGCAGAGACGAAGCTGAGAAAGATGCGCATGAGAACGACCTCGTCATGCCCGGTTTTCGGTTCCACCCTACTGAAGAAGAACTCATAGAATTCTATCTCCGTCGCAAAATCGAAGGCAAGCGCTTCAACGTCGAACTCATAACCTTCCTCGACCTCTATCGCTATGACCCCTGGGAGCTTCCTGGTGCTCATCTCACTTCGTTTCTCTCCTCTTCTTCCTCTTCTTCTAATTCTTAATTTCTACAATCTATATGGGCTTTTTTTTTTGTTTTCCTTTTCGACTTATCTGGCGTTATGTTGCAGCACTGGCAGCCATAGGGGAGAAGGAGTGGTTCTTTTATGTGCCCAGAGACCGGAAGTACCGCAACGGCGACCGGCCAAACCGGGTGACCACGTCAGGATACTGGAAGGCTACCGGAGCCGACCGGATGATCCGAAGCGAGAATTCGAGACCTATTGGGCTAAAGAAAACTCTTGTTTTTTATTCAGGAAAGGCGCCGAGGGGCATCCGCTCAAGCTGGATCATGAACGAGTACAGGCTGCCGCAGCCTGAAACTGATCGAAACCATAAGGTATGAAAGGTTCGTTTACTGATTTTATGGTCGTTTTGTTTCTTTTCTTAGAGAGAGAGATGAAATTTTCATTTGCTTGAAAAAGGTACTGGTCATAATTTTGAGTTTAGGAAAGAAGTTCATATATTCAACTTTGGGATTGGATTCTCATCTTAAATTGTCAAGATATGTAAATGTAAGATGCGGCTATATATTTTCAATATAGCCATTCAATTCACTTTTAAAAAACATTATTTTGTGAGGAAATGATTGATGCAATCAAGAGGCGGAAATGTGCCTACGGGCGCAATTATCGAGCTAATAATGGAATATATTTCTCCATGGAACGAGAAATCATTTGGATATTCTAATTTTCTTCGGGATAAAGCATAACAAGAGAATTTATTAGCTATGGTACATTTGGATCACTACATATATCCTCACCTAAAATTTTGTTTTCTTTTATTTGCTTTCCTTCCATACAATTCTTATTGGTCTTTCAAGTTTACTCAATTGGGCTTTCCAGTGATTTTCTTTTGTTCGTTTACTTGTTTTAATTTTGTTAAACACAAAATAGTATTTATTTGCACATTTTACTGATTCCAAAATAGATCTAGACACATCCGATCAAAATTTTGATCATCCAATTTACTTTTCGTTCCTTAGAATGACCTCATAACTACTTCATCTTTCATTTTAATATACTGCTTCAAATTTCTCATTTGAAAAAGTAAAAGCAAACTTATGAAAAGCTGCAAAGCTCTAACAAGGGTGCTTTCAGACGGAAATCTCGCTGTGCAGAGTATACAAAAGACCCGGCCTAGAAGACTACCGGCGTTCTCCCAACAAAACCTCTTGCAAGGCTTCATCATCCAGTACGCCAGACAAGAATCGAAGCCAATATAATCCTCACCCTGCAAGCTATCTACAATCGGCAGCTGGAGAACCTTCACCTTCTTCAGAGCTCGGCGACGGTAAATGCGCGGAAGATGCCATGTACGCTTCTTCAACCATCATTCCCATAGTTTCTCTGAGCTCAACTCCAATGGAAGAAGAAGATTCATCACAATATCACTTACAACCACCCATACATTGTTCGTCAGCTATGGTGGCCTCAGCGTCCACGTCTGTCCATGAGCTAAACAGGATTGTCGGCTACATGAATCAGCCACAGCTGTTTCCTCTCAATCAGCCGCCTCCTCTATTATCCAGTAAGCTTTGGGACTGGAATGATCCTTTTGGTGATGCTGCTAGAGACTACAGTGCCAATTTTAAGTAAAGCTATATCAATATATATCACAATTATATATATATATATCTATATATATATATATATATATATATATATATATATATATAATGCATTGAAACTGCAGCATTTCTTTTTTCCTACTACCTAACTTTTGTTTCTAATTAAGGTTATTGTATGTTGTTTTGCCAATCTAAATAGTAATGTAAGTATAAGTGCAGCTAGTTTGAGATGTTTAATATCCCTTCCTGAGTTTGTGAATTATTTTTCTTAATAAATTTTCTTTTTTTAAGAATATATTTACTTTGAGGGAGGATGTTAAATATTGCTCCTTTTTAAATGGAAAAAGTGTTGTTTTTTTTTTTGCTCGTTGAGACGAAGCCAACTAACTTAAATGGTAAGTCTAATTTATGTTCAGCATGAATTAAGTTGATCGAATATAGGTAGTTCTATGTGTGCATGTCCCATGTTAGCGCAAAAGCTAACTTTGAAGAAAACATATTAAACTTTGATTAAATTTTCTTTTATATAGATCTAACTGTCAATCAAAAAGAACGATCCATGCAGGCTGACTCCCAAATTTTGAAAACATTTAGTTGCTTGCTATAAAATGAATTAATTTTGAGCAAGTTTTTAGTTAATATTACTAAACTTTGAATGAAATCATTCACAGCACTAATTCAAAATACCTGTCAGCTGCAATGTAGAGCTCACGGGATGTAATGAAAAATGAACTAGTTCCATAAAAAAATTAAAATAGTGTTATAAAGAAATAATAAAATAATAAATTTTTGACCATAATGATCCACTGGCCATTTTTTAAAAATTTAGGGGAAGTGAAATTTAATAGCCGATATATTGCCGTAGCTGCACTGGAATTGTTCCGAAAGTGGGTTGCACAATAATGGAGAGATGATTGCGGGAAGACTTGGCAGAAGCTGCTACCTGAGGACTTGTGAGGGTGGGATCGTACAGCTCCATAGCATGTGATGGGGCCACAGGTCACAGCCTCCTTCTCTTTTTATTTTTCTCTCTTTTGGGTGGTGCTGACTTTGTTATTGATTCCCTTTGTTTACGTCTTTCTTGCTCAGGTGGTATTCGATGAAGTGGTAAGAGTTGCATGCAATACTTTTACTTGTGCGGAGCTTTTTATTATTCCTTTCAATGCTGTAACTTTTGTAGAATAGCATACAAACCACTTATATTTTATGTATTTACACATTTAACACTTACACATGAAAATGTGTATTTCATTTTCTTAGAGTTAACATGATAATAATTTGGATGTAATATAAAGAATTTGTTATAAATTTAGAAAGCAAAGTGTGCTAGATATGTAAATATATAAAATTTGATATGTATGTAAATCCCCCTTTACACTTACACATGAAAATGTGTATTTCATTTTTTTAGAGCTAATTTGATAATAATTTGGATGTAAAATGAAGAATTTGTTATAAATTTAGAAAGCAAAGTGTGTTGGGCATGTAAATATATAAAATTTTATATGTATGTAAATGCCCCTTAAATTTTGTATGAGCCCTTATTGCATATGCAGTGTCATGAATTTAAATTTTTGTTTTTGTTAATCAGAACATTAAACAAACAAACAAAGATGATTTCTAATTTAACATTTTCTTATGTTTTTATTTTTTGAATATGACATTGCACATCAAGTCAAATTACTAACATCAATTTAATTTTAATGAATAGTGGCAAAAAAATGTGATTGTATTAATTATTAATTATCAATTTATTTAAGCTCGGGTTTACTAAACTATTTTTATGTCGGAAAATTCATGACAACAAAAAATAATATAATAGGATATCACCTTGAGAGAGAAAAAATACTACCTTATGATGGATCTAATATCAACACCACAGCATATATGCATCTGAATTGGTGTTAGAAATGAGTTTGATGCAGAATTAGCGTTAGTTTACCATTGCGTGTAATTTCAAAATTAGAAGTATCGATACAGACTAGTTGCATCGAGCGGGCCAAGCTAATTTGACAGAATAATGTTAGATCGACATCTTCATTGGTGCATTCGCTGACGCTAATCCTACTTATTAGCGTCGGAAAATCCTGAAGCTAATCCAATACTAAAGCTTTAAAATATCTCTTAGGAGAAATGAATCTGCAATTCTATGTTTTCTTCTTCCCTGCCGTGATTGGTTTAATTCGGTACTCCTCCGTGGTTTCCATCATTTCCAGCTCATTTCCACCCCTGTAACTTTGTCCAAGGTGAGAAGCTTTCATCCAAAACTCTATGCTTTGGTTTTACATAAGTTTTAATGTTTTTTTTTCGTTAGATTTTGAATGCATAGGTGTTAGAATCAAAAATAAAAGAGCACAACTCAATGCATAGAGATTAGATAGTTCTACATAAGATTGTTGACCTCAATTTTGGTGAGGTCTTTCTTTCCTCTTAGTACTTAGGATCTAGACATAGGACTTTCTTTTTTACTATCCTAGAAGACTAAAGATGGGACCCACCTACATTGAAATTCAGACCACCTTCTAGCTCTCTTTGAAACCCTACAAGGATGGTAATGAACCTCCAGCACTTGGAAGGTTAAGACTAACATGTGAGGATTCAAGGATGAGTCCCCATAGAACTGTTGAACTTAGGGCAACCCTGGGTGGCTAGGGTTTGGTCATTCACACATCCAAGCACATCACGATTCTCCACTTGTCCTAGTACCTTAAAACTACACCCATTGAACCTATTTCCTTTCGCTATTTTGAAAACTCATGTGGGTGGTCCTCAACCTCTTAGCCCTTTGGTTGGGTGGCTAGGACACACATGAGGGGTCCAAAATGAGCTTCTCCTTGTTCTCATGGCTAAAGAAAGGTAACCTTGTGATTGCATAATGGCTTTCAATCCCACCTAAGAACCTAATTTTGGCTTTTACCCCACTTCTAGCCCCTAACTTCTCCAAAATTACCAAAATGCCCCTAGAACCCTAAATTTCTAAAAGTGGCCCAAATCCTCAAATTCTCTTCAAAAATCATTATAAACCACTTCAAAACAACCAAATTGGGCAAAATACCACAATTTCCCCAAAATTCCCAAAATACCCCTCATGACAAAAAAGATTCTCAAAACCTGTTAAATCATTCCAAACCTCTTCTAAACCAATCCTAACAACCCAATTGGCCCAATTTGACCAAACTGATCAATTTTGACCAAATTCCCAATTTTGCCCCTAAAGGCCCAATTTCTCCAAACTCTTCCCAATATCCACCAACTTCATTCCAATTTCACCCAATTTCAAATCGAAATTGAACATCAAATTACCCAATCCCATCCTACACTAATTTGGAGCCCAATTGAACCATCCTCTAAACCCTAATTTCAATTTTGGGCAAAAATCCCAAAATGGCCATACTTCAAATTCCATTAAACTGGACCCTATAACCATTCCAATTCCCTCGATGTTGAACACTAAACTCTTCATAACATTCCCCTAGACTAATTTGAACCCTCAATTTGTCTAGATCCAAACCCTGACCCAACCTAAATTCGTGCCCAAACCAATTGACCCAAAATTCCATTAAATTGAAGTCTTTAATCAATTCAATTCCCCCAATTTCATTTCCTAAATTTCCTTTACATCCTTTTGGACCAATTGGACCTTTCAATTAATTTTCAATCTAAGTCCAATTCAAGCCCAAATCTATTTTTTAGCTGTAACCCTAACTTTGAACTTAAAATCCAAATTAACCCAAATCTTTTGAAATTAACCAAGCTTAATCTTCTCCTGCCTTGATTAGCCCACTTGGAGGCTAATCAGATCACCAAGGGCCCTATTTTGGACCCATGGACCAAAGAGTCCCTTGAATTATGAAAACACATCTCCTAATTTGGCTAAGCTCTCTACCCCATGCCATCAACCATTAAAATTCCAAGCTAATCACCATTAAACCTTTCCTGACCTCCATGAATCAGCTAGCCACCTCCCACAGCCTAGCCGACCAGCCTAGTCACCGAAAATCCCAAAATCGAGAAGACCATGCTTGGCTTAAACCCAAATTTATACCCATCCAATGTGTTTCACCCCCATTGGTGAATTGTGCCTCTCAACCCTCCACCTAACCATCCTTATTCATCCCCTTGCTTAGCCAATTAAGTCCTAAGTTCCCCTTTATTTAAACCACCTTCTCTCAGGCATGATGAGAGTGATGTCAGTTCCTTAAAAAGACTTCTCCAAATTATTCTCAGAGCTTCCTCCAGCCATCCTGAGTTCAGCCTCACCATTTTCAGGCACTTAATTCCATTGTCCAAGCCTAATTTATTCACCCAAACCCATGACACATTTTCGTCACCCCACCAAACTCCACGAAACTTTAAATTAATCATTCTAAAAGCTTCCCTCTTTTTTTTGAGCTTCTGGGTGGCGAAAAATCAAAGCTAGACAATGTTTCTCAATAAGAGGATACTTTACCTCCATTGGTATTAGACGTTTACTTAGGTAGTTTAGTGGGTTTTCCTTACCCTTGTCATTGATTTGAGCTAACAGAGCTCCAAAGAGTCGTTTAAGATTGCATTATAAAGTATCAAATATTTTTTTAGAATAGGGGCTGCATAAACAGGAGGTGTTGTTAAGTAATGCTTAATGTCCTCAAAAGCTCATTGGTATTTCTCTTACCAAACAAATTTGGCATCATTTTTAATTGAATCCAAAAAGGGTTGACACCTACCTGATAGATTAGATATAAAGCATCTCAGTTAAGCCAACTTACCTTGAAAGGATCATAACTATTTCACGATTCTGGGAGGAAACATTTCTAAGATAGCTTTATTCTTATTTGAGTTAATCTCTATTCCCTAATGATGAACAATGAATCCTAAAAATTTCCTGGAGGTAACACCAAAGGCACACTTTAGGGGATTCATCTTAATATTACATTATCGTAATCGTTCGAACATGGACCTCAAATCATACATATGATATATTCACTGCATACTTTTGATGACCAAATTGTCCATGTAGCACTCCACCTAGTTATGTATAAGGTCATTAAAG